GGGGCCTCTGTGTGTGTGTTTGGGGGTGTATGTGTGTTTTTGGGGGTGTGTGTGTGTCCCTGTCCCCCCCCCTCCATCCCGCCGCAGCCGGGCTCCCTCGGACCAGGCTCCCCATCGCCCCCTGCAAACCTGCATCCCAGTCCCTCTCGGGGTCATACTGGGAACGGGGGTGGTCCTGGTGGTGGTGGTGGTCGTGGTCGTGGTGGTGGAACCCTCCTCTTCTTGCACCCCTGCTTGGTGGGAGGCTCAGAGACTTTGGGGTCACCTCCTTTGGGCCACCTCAGCATCCCACCACATTGTGCTCCCCGTTTCTAGACACCCTCCGTGATCCCGAGTTGGTGCAGGATGCTTATTTCCCTAATTATTTTTTGTTTTTCGACTTAGAACCGGAGGGAAAGAGTTTAAATGGGCTGTGCTCGGTCTTGCAAAGCTCCTTAAGGGGTGTGGGTGTCCTCTTGCGGTGGCCAAATGGCCCAGACGGGGCTGTGCTGGAGAGCCAGGTTGACGTGGGAGAGGTGAAGGTGTGTAGGGTCACCACCCGTCCTGGTTTTTCTTGGCATAGCTCATTTCCTTCTCCACTTGGGAAGGGCAAAGGCCATTTTTCTTGTGCCCCTGAGCTGCCGGGAGGCAGGGCTGGACCAGGCTGTGAGATGGAAGAAGGGTTGCTGAGAAGTTCCCAAAAGCATCGAGGGCTTGGGCGCTGCCAGGTGGCACCAGGCTGGCTTCCTAAAACAGGGGGGGCTCATCCCTGTTTAGTGTTTTCACAGCCTGGAGGGGGATAGGGGGTGAGGAGGGTGCAGTCCTGCAGGCTGCATCTGCTCCAGGGACATCCCTGGAGGGACACCATCCTGCCCGGAGCAGGATTTTGGGTGTATCTTCTTCTATTCGTGGTGTAACTCCTGTGGACTAGCAGCTTGGCCACCACACACACGTGTGTGTGTGTGTGTGTGTGTGTGTTCCTGCCAGGCGTGATGGCCTCCAGGAGTTTTGCAACACAAAATGCAGTCCCAGCAGCCTTCCCAAGTATTTTATTGGGTTTTTTTTAAGATATTGTGCTGTCTGCAGAGTGCGCTAAAGGTATATTTTTTATTATTTTAGTTTTTTAGGAGCACAAAGTGGCTTTATTGAGTTTCTCTGGTGAGTTCCACACACACACGCATAACACACCCCCCACCACCACTACTTCCCAGCTAATCTGGGTGGGAATGGGAGCAGCTAATCCCAGACTCTAATCCCAGGCTCTGGGTGTAGCCATCCCTCCCCAGCAGGGCTTTGAGCCATGGGGGGACCCGTATGGGTTTCATGGGTTTTTATGTTTCTCCTGGGGGATGTGAAAGCTCACAGGCACGTAGGAGGCCCCGGACAGATGGATGCATGTGTGTGTAGCAGACTGAGATTGGGGCAGAGCATCCTTTCCCTTAAGATCCTCAGGGTGGTTGCAAGTGAGCAGCTGGGGGTGGTGGTGGTGCCCTTTCCCAGCTGGTGGCTGTGGTGTCCCCAACGTTGCTGTGAGCCCCAGCTTTCAGGGGCTTTGTGCTGCCCTGTTCACAGAATGATATGGGGTTGGAAGGGACCTCTGGAGATCATCTAGTCCAACCCCCCTGCCAAAGCAGGTCCACCCAGGTTGCCAGGAACGTGTCCAGGTGGGTTTGGAATGTCTCCAGAGAAGGAGGCTCCACCACCTCCCTGGGCAGCCTATGGTGTTGCTGCTTCTCTGTTGGCACTGATGATCTGACACCCTGCAGCCAGATCTGAGTTTCTTCTCAATTAGGGGGACGTACCGGAGGGTTGGCAGTGGGTGGTCGCGGCCCCATCCTGGAGGTTGGTTTGAGTTAGGGTCTTGAGATGCAAAAAGAGCCCACTCCCCTCGTTGGACCATGTACCTTCCCAAAAGATGCCCAGGCCTACCCGTGCTGCTTCTGTGGGGTGTTACGGGGTTAGACTGGTGTCCCTCTTGCTCTGCTTGCCTCGCTGTCCAGAAACACCAGCAGGTCTCCTGCCGTGGGGCTGGGAGTTTTGTGGCTTTCAGGGAGTTTGCTTTAGTTGCTGTGGGGTCTGGAGATACAGGGTCTTAGGGAAGAAGCTCTTGAGAAACCTCAAAAAGTGTTTGTGCTGGGGGACGCAGAGGTGGCTCCTTGGATGAGGTCTAGGAGGAGACCCATCCCTCTCTCTGGAGGCCAGGATCAGCTCTTCTCCTTGGGGTGGGCATGGATTTATGTTCTCCTGAGCTCAACCCAAGACAAAACTGTCTCGGCTCCCTCTTTAGCCAGTGTTTTTAGCAAAAACCCTGCTTAATTTGGTTTGAATCTCAACTCTTGTCTTTCAGCGGGCTGGAAGGCTGCGTGGGTTTGAAGCCATCAGCTAGATCTCCTCACAGGGCCAATTTGGGCCCTGTTTGTGGAGAGATTTGATCTCCGCTGGAGACGTGCACGACCCCCCCTCATTGTTAGTGCCCCCGCCATCCCCTCCGTCAGGACAATAGCGCCTTGAGTTCTCCTCAGTAATCTCCCCCCCTTATCTCCTTTCTCTTCCGTAGCTTGTGTCCCTGGGAGGGTGGGAGGTTTGGAAAGAGCCAATTAAGCAGATGGAGGAGTGAGAGGTGCTATGTCAACTGACGTCCCTTTTTGGGGAGCAGGATGAGAAGAAGGATGCTCAGTACCGGAGCGTGTCCGAGCTCATCGCTGCTTGCCATCTCCTCTGCGCTCACCCCCCCTCATTGTTAGTGCCCCCGCCATCCCCTCCGTCAGGACAATAGCGCCTTGAGTTCTCCTCAGTAATCTCCCCCCCTTATCTCCTTTCTCTTCCGTAGCCTGTGTCCCTGGGAGGGTGGGAGGTTTGGAAAGAGCCAATTAAGCAGATGGAGGAGTGAGAGGTGCTATGTCAACTGACGTCCCTTTTTGGGGAGCGGGATGAGAAGAGGATGCTCGGCACCGGAGCGTGTCCGAGCTCATCCCTGCTTGCCATCCTCTCTGCGCTCCCATAAGCACTGCCAGGAGGTCTTCTGGTGGGGGTGAGGATGTTCAGTGATGTGGGTGGCCATGTGAGTTGTTTGCCTCCTTGCTGGTGCCACCAGGGTGGCATCGGAGGGTACAGCTCACTGCAGGGGCTGAGAACGTGGAGAAGAACAAGGTGGCCACCGTTCAGGATGTGTTGATGGTGGCAACTACAGGTGGGCTGCCTGCCTGACCCGGTGCTCCGGCTGAAATGAAGCCGTGGTGATACAAGATGGGGGTCCATCCCTTGGAAAACCACCTCTCCATCTTCATGTCCAAGCTCATCCCTGCTTGCCATCCTCTCTGCACTCCCATAAGCACTGCCAGGAGGTCTTCTGGTGGGGGTGAGGATTTTCGGTGATGTGGGTGGCCATGTGAGTTGTTTGCCTCCTTGCTGGTGCCACCAGGGTGGCATCGGGAGGGGCTGAGAACGTGGGGAGGAACAAGGTGGCCACCATTCAGGATGTGTTGATGGTGGCAACTACAGGTGGGCTGCCTGCCTGACCCGGTGCTCCGGCTGAAATGAAGCCGTGGTGATACAAGATGGGGGTCCATCCCTTGGAAAACCACCTCTCCATCTTCATGTCCAAGCTCATCCCTGCTTGCCATCCTCTCTGCACTCCCATAAGCACTGCCAGGAGGTCTTCTGGTGGGGGTGAGGATTTTCGGTGATGTGGGTGGCCATGTGAGTTGTTTGCCTCCTTGCTGGTGCCACCAGGGTGGCATCGGAGGGTACAGCTCACTGCAGGGGCTGAGAACGTGGAGAAGAACAAGGTGGCCACCGTTCAGGATGTGTTGATGGTGGCAACTACAGGTGGGCTGCCTGTCTGACCCGATGCTCCAGCTCAAATGAAGCCGTGGTGGTACAAGATGGGGGTCCATCCCTTGGAAAACCACCTCTCCATCTTCATTTTGGCCTGCCCCAAACTGGAGCCTGCGGACACGGAGGCTCCAAAATTTGCTTGGCTGAAGCCGGGCAGTCACGTGGCATTTTTTTTACACTGCCCCAAAAGCACGGCTGCAATTAGCAGCCCAGTTTTGGGTTTTGTGTAAGCCTTGTGGGTCTGCTGGGGCCCTGCCTTCTGCTGGCCAGGAAGTTTAACGAGGAACCCCCTTGCTTTGTCCCGCTGGCTGCCAATGGAAGAAGGTGCTGAAGAGGCAAGAAAAGCAGAAAAGCAAAAGGGTGGGGAGGAAGCAGTTGTTGTGGAGCCAGGCTGTGATGGGGGGAGTGTTTTGTAAATCAAAGCACTCTCCTAAAAAGAAAACTTAAGCCCAGCAGACCCTACCCAGTGGTCAAGCTCTGACTTCTTTTCTCGAAGCTACGTGATAATCGTTAAAACGCAGGGGGATGCTTTTGTAAAATAGAATTGGAGAGAAGGGGGGGGAGGATGGAGCAGGATTTAAATTTAAAATTGGACGAGGGTACAAAGCCCCTTAGTTCCCCGTTTCTGTTTGATGCAGCTGGAGCTGGGCTTGACAAGATGCTGACCAGAGCTTGTGGTAAATGTTTTACGGTACCGTGTATCAGCCAGATCAATTCTACTACACTTGAGGGAGTGCAGATAAAATGGCTTAAAGATTCCCCTGCTGAAAGCGATAGTATCATCATTTATGCCGGAGAAGACAGATTTAGTTGCCTGACATTTATTTGGCCACGGTGTGCTTTGTGGATTTCACACCCGGGGACGATAGCCAACCTGATGATGTCAGATGTGAAATGCAAGGGGGGAAAAAAAAAAGAAAAAGAAAAAAATCACAGAAAAAGCTAATGCTGTTCTTCTTTTGTCGACCGGATGAGTTTTGCGATGTGTCTGTTCTGGTTGTTTTACTCCACAGTTCTCTTTAATTAATTAAAAGTGCCTTACAAGAGTAGGTCATTACTAAACCAGCTTGTCCTGCATGTGCTTTGTGGTATGGAGATGGCAGCAGAAATGTCTCTGTTAACTTAGGTTGTTTCTTCTGATCCTCTTTTGCCTGCAGGTCACTTGAACTCCACACTGAGCGACCATGAGCGCGCTTGATTTGACTTCCATCCTCGATTTTCTGGAAACGGCCAACTTGACGGAGATCAACTGGACGTGCAACAACGGTGACTGCATCACGGTTGATGCGACAACATGCCCCGGCACGCTCAACAAAAGCGCCCTGCTCTACACCCTGTCCTTCTTCTACATTTTCATTTTCGTCATCGGGCTGGTGGCCAACTCGGTTGTGGTGTGGGTCAACCTCCAAGCCAAAATGACTGGCTACGAAACCCACCTCTACATCTTCAACTTGGCTATCGCCGATCTGTGTGTCGTCATCACCCTTCCGGTGTGGGTTGTCTCCCTTGTCCAGCATAACCAGTGGCACATGGGTGAAATCACCTGCAAGATAACTCACCTTATCTTTTCCATCAACTTGTACGGCAGCATCTTCTTCCTGGCGTGCATGAGCGTGGACCGCTACCTCTCAGTTGCCTATTTCACCAACTCCAGCAATCGCAAGAAGAAGATAATCCGGCGCTGCATCTGCATCTTGGTGTGGCTCCTTGCCTTCTCTGCCTCTCTCCCAGACACCTATTACCTCAAGACGGTCTCTTCCAACAACGAAACCTACTGCCGTCCTGTCTACCCGGAGGAGAGCTTCAAAGAGTGGTTGATTGGCATGGAGCTCATCTCCGTTGTGCTGGGCTTCCTCATCCCTTTCCCAGTCATTGCTTTCTTTTATTTCCTCCTTGCCAAGACCATCTCCTCCTCCAGCGACCAAGAGAGGAAGAGCAACGGGAAGATCATTTTCTCCTACGTGGTGGTCTTTCTCGTCTGCTGGCTCCCCTACCACGTAGCCGTCCTGCTCGACATCTTCTACAGCCTTCATTTCATCCCTTTCAGTTGCCAGATGGAGAACTTCTTATATGCCACTCTCCACGTCACCCAGTGCTTCTCTCTTGTCCATTGCTGCGTCAACCCCATCCTGTACAGCTTCATTAACCGCAACTACAGATACGAGCTCATGAAGGCTTTTATTTTCAAGTACTCTGCCAAAACGGGGCTCACGAAACTCATCGATGCTTCCAGAGTCTCAGAAGCAGAGTATTCAGCTCTGGAGCAAAATGCCAAATGACTGCAACCCCAGAAAGAAACCTCCTTGACTCTCTGACCTTTGTTTTTTTTTTGTGTGTTGGTTTGGTGGTTTGTTTTTTTTTTGTGTGTGTGTGGTTTGTTTTGTGGTTTTTTTTTTTTTTTGCCCCTCCTTTCCCTGTGCTTCTCCTGAACGGGGCATGAATTCAAGCCTACCCTTTGGTTTTTTTTTTTTGTGTGTGTTGGTTTGGTGGTTTGTTTTTTTTCTTGTGTGTGTGTGGTTTGTTTTGTGGTTTGTTTTTGTTTTTTTTTTTTACCCCTCCTTTCCCTGTGCTTCTCCTGAACGGGGCATGAATTCAAGCCTACAAAAACAAACAAAAAAAAGAAATAGCCAAGTGTAATTTAAAGAGTAGAATCAGGTGCAAAATGGAAGTGGTACCAAAACGAAGCCTTTTGTTGGTGTGTTTTGTTTGATCTCCTCCTAGCCCGGTCTGGACAACGCTATGCAAATGGAAATGACTTTTCTAGCAAACAAAGCCATTGTGTACCCTAGATAATATGCATTTCGAGGATAAGCTCTTTTCTTCCACGTGTAGATTCCCTCTTGTCTCCTTTTGTATATGTTATATATAGAGTGTGTTCTATTTAAAAGCTCTGAGACTTTATTTTCTGGCTCTCGGTTGTACCTTTATACAATTGTATTTGAAAGTGAAATATATTTTTTATCGTGTATTTGAAGTATATTGCTGATGAGTGCTGTATTCTGAGTGTTAGATTGGCTTAAACTACCCTAGGTAAGAGGCTGATGACAAATAGCAGAGTGAAAATGATCTTTTAAGTGCATCCTCCCTGGCTGGCACACTTTTTATCAGCCCTAGCTTTACGTGGTGGTCATACCCACGTGTCTGGAGCATGAAATGTATGTGCTGTAATAAAATTAACAGTATTGTAATGAGTTGTTAACTCCGACGCCCGTACTTCACCGAGCTGTATACCCTTATGCACAGAATGAATGATCTTAACTTCTGAGAGTTGTCTCTATTTGTAAGTTATTTTTGTAAAATAAAGATCTGGGGGGAAAAAAAATTATATATATATATTAAATAAATCTATGCCTACCAGTGATTTGACTCGCCGGCATCCTCCTCCTCCTCCTCAGAGAAAGGAAAAATTAAAAAAAAAAGCCAAAAAGAAGAAATCCCAAAGAAAAAAATCCCAAAGAAGAAGTCCCAAAGAAGAAATCCCTTCTCTCCTTTGTTTGGTGCAGGAGCAAACAGGTCAGTCTGTATTTCCCCGGCGTTTGGTGGCGGTGGGTGGGCAGGAACCGTTGAGGGAAGGAATGTGAAGGGGAAGGGGTAGGAGGAGCGGTTCCCTGGAAGGCTGAGCTGTTTGGGAAGGTAAAGCTTGATGGATTTATAAGGTGAAAGCTGCTGGGAGTGATGAAAGGCCGTGTCTGTAGCTTTAGGAATAAAAAAGTGGAAGAAAAACACGCAACTACGCAGATGGAGCGGATATTTGGACTAATCCAGCTTCAGTCCTCCGCCGTTTTTTGGCTTGGGATGGAATCTGGGGGGGAGTTTAGCAGTCCTGACACCATTAAATCCCTTTTTATCTGTTCTTCTCTTTGTTATGGCTCCTGTTGAAAATTTGAAGTGCTGCGTTGTCGAAGCGCGGGGCAAGATTTCAGCTGCTGCAGGACATCTGAAGTAGATCATCTTGAATCGTGGTCATCTTTGTCTCGGGACAAGGTAACTCCTGTTAAATTAACGATGACTCTCCAACCATCACCAACTTATTGCTGGTTTGCATGTTCTGCAATTCCAGCACGGTGCTAACTGCTTGGCTGTGAAGGCTACACTTAAATTCCTCTTAAATCAAAGCATGCCCTCAACCCTCTGAGATCCCAAGAGCCCAAAGAATTTTGTACTGACTCTATTTTTGTTTCTTTCCACGAAAGAAACAAAAATACGAGTTGCTTTATTGCCTTCTCAAAGATGATCCTACAAAATGAGATGTTTGCCAGCACTGTGAGGTCTGCCATCCCCCTCCTTGTGCCTTGGTGGTTCTGAAAAAGCCCTGGTCCATCCCCCAGATGGAGGAGGTGGTTGTGGAGAACGGCTGCCACCATAACTGTCACAACCTGACAGGACACTTCTAAGAAATGGAGGTATTTTGTATTTGAAATGGAGGTATTTTGTATTTGAAATGGAGGTATTCCTGTAAGCTTGTGGGACGGCATGTTGTACTGAGAGTTAAAATTGGAGGCAGTGTGTCAATATAGAGAAATTAGTGGTCCTGGTTTAGCTGGGCATTGCTTTTCATGCCCTGGCATCCAGATGGGCAGCTGTGTGTCCTCACCAAAGGTAGAGAGCTTTGGCATCCTGCTCCCATACACCTGCAGGCTATTTTTCAGTTGATATCAGTGTGACTATTTCAGTTCAGGTCCTGTCTCGGGGAGTATGATGTTTTCCTGCAATGCTGTAGCTGGTTTGAAGGTTTGATTTGGCAGAAGCTCCCATCTCTCTCTCTGCAGTTTGGTATTTTGAAGTGTGGCATCAGCCCTGGGGGTATCCCAGGTTGTGGTGAATGTGGAGCAGGTCCTGCAGACCTGCTGCTTGGGGAGGACTGATAAAGTCTCCGGGTCTCCTCGTTGGGGAGGTGAATGGTGGTGGGATGATGCCTTTTCCAAAAGCAGAGTCAGAGCAGGTAAAGGTCATGGCCGTGACCCTCGCTTGTCAACAGCTGTAACCTTGCGTGTGTGGGTCCTTTCCAGCTCTTTGGGTGGAAAGAATCACATCTTCATGGTTGGAAGAGGCCTTTGAGATTGAGTCCTACCACAAAAAAAACCCCAAAACCAAAAAACAACCCAAACCCAAACAAACCAACCCAACCAAAAAACAACCCAAACCCAAACAAACCAGCCCCCCAAAACTCCACAAACAGACACAACCCAACAATCTCGGTCACTAGAGCGTGCCCTGAAGTGCCACATCTACATGGTTCTTAAATACCTCCAGGGATGGTGACTCCACCACCTCCCTGGGCAGACCCTTCCAGTGCCTGACCACCCTCTCAGGAAAGTCATTCTTCCCAATATCTCATCTAAACCTCCCCTGCCCCAACTTCAGACCATTTCCTCTGCTCCTGTCATGATTCCCTTGGGAGAAGAGGCCAACCCCCACCTCTCTCCACCCTCCTTTCAGGGAGTTGTAGAGGGCAATGAGGTCTCCCTTCAGCCTCCTCCAAACTGAATGTCCCCAGAAGACCTGGGGCTGAGCACCCACCTTGTCTCCTGAAATGACTGAGGGAGGTGGGAGGCAGGACCACCACCACCAGCAGCAGCACTAGGGCTTGGGAAGGGTGCATGAGATCCTCTTTGGATGCTACTGACGTGGAGATAGGTGGCCCCGAGGTAGCCATGACTCTGGGAGAAGGTTGGTAGTGGGCAGATGATGGGAAACTGGTTGGAGGGCAGAGGGGTGCAGAGATAGGGCATTTGGGGCAGGACTGGTGGGCTGCCTGGGGGTGATCTCCCCTTGTTCCTCTGGCAGCTACAAGCACCCGTGGACGTTTGGGTCCTCCCTTTGCAAGGAGGTCAAAATCCATGTTGGAGCAAGTCCTCCTGCTTCATTCTTGGGCTTTATGGCTGAGAGCATCCCGGCGCTGTCGGACTCCACGTGCCTTGGAGGCAGGCATCGAGCAAGTAAAAATCCATCTGCTCCCTGAGAAAGGAAATTTTTTATTTTTTTTTCATTTTTTTTTTAAAATACAGAAAGTGCAGTTCCTTCTTTATTGTTACTTAACCACAGATTTCCTTTTATGAGCCATAAACGACGTTCAGGTGTAGCGCAGTGACTTTAAATCAGCTCCTCTGGCAAAGCCATCTAGATAATGTATTTATTGTAAGAAACGCCTCGCTGGCCTGTTTCTGCTTTGGCTAATTCATCGTTTCAGCGCTGCTGACTTTTAAGATACTCGCCTTTCATGAGCTCACTGAGCATAAAAGCCATTTCAAAGTTCCTAAGAAGCAAGAAATAACTCAGCTGTGAGCAATATTGAAGCACGTGGCAGCGGCGCCGCTGCCAAAGCCGGCTCTTAATCTGTTGCAGAGGGTTTCTCCTCTGCAGGTAACCCTGAGGAGTTGGGGGGTCAGCCCCTGGGATGGGTTGTGGGGCTGAGCAGGGCATGGTGTGATTGTTGGGGGGTGGGTTTTGGGGGGAATTGATACCTACAGAGCCCAGGGTTTGCTTTTAGTCTCCCTGCTCTGTTACTGAAGAGCATCAGAGCCCGAGTCTGCTCTGATCCGCACCCCAGATTTACAGGAGGATAATGCTGCTGATTTAAAGAGAGCTATCTGGGATTTATAAGGTTTTATTTTTTTAAGTAGGATGAGGGATTTTAGCCCTAATCCCGTGCAAATGTATGGGTGGGAGTGCAAATGTGCACATCTGCATTGCTAATGCAGGGTAATACCCCCTGTACAGCCCTCACGCAAAGACATCCTAATAGCAACACAACAGATTATCACAACCCGAGTCTGCTTTTGCAAAAATACTTGCATTATGGGGTTATAGTATGATTCAAACCAGGCTCAGGAAGATCCTGCGATGGATAATCCAGCTGGAACCCTAAAGCACGTGGCTGACTCTTCTGACACCCCCCTGTCACAAGAAAAATCAGTCTCCTTCCATTCTAGTAGGTGCTGTTGGAAAAAAAAGTTCCTTGTAGGTTTTTTGATCTACTTGGTTTTCTGGGATTATGTGGAGTAAGTGCAAGACTGTAGCTAAAGGTCTCTGTCCTGGAAATGTTATAACTTCACAGTGCCAAGGAGATGCTACCATCCCAGTGATGCTATAAATCCAGGGAGACCGCTCAATCCTGTGGCTAAAATATTTCAGATAGATAAAATATGTAATTTCAGAAATAGAAAACATTTCCCTGCCTCACCGTCTGGGTTGCAAGTCCTGAGATTTGCCTCCCCAGGGCCTTTTTTTATTTCTTTTGCCAAGATGTAAAACCGGTGCTGGAATAGGAAAAAAAATAATAAAAGATGATAAGATGATGACAAAAGATGCTACCCATGGCCAGGAAAAAAGGAAATAAATGGGTATGTCAGGGATAAACTAGAGGTCTGAGCTCTTTCCACCCAAGAG